TCTTGCAGTTCATTTTTTCCAGTTAGCTTCAAGCTTCCAAGCTTGGCAAATTAACGACTGGAATTCCGGTGAAATTCCGGTACAGGTATTATGAATAATCCATCTGAAAAATCGCAAACGCGTTTTTCTCGAAACTACTTTTTCACGAAGCTCGCGCAAGTTTTCTCGGAAATTGTACAACAGATTTTTCTGAAATTTTCCATAGATTGTCAGTACATATGTAGGTAGGGCATAATCCACTGTAATAGTGAAATTCTACGAATTGCTGTTTTTTTGAGAACTCCAGAAGCAACGATTTTTCGGTAAAAATTCGAAACGCAACTTTGACGTACCGCCATTTTGTTATTCTTAAGTATTTTTATAACCAGAGTGGATTATGCTCAATCTCAAGTATAATCAGTCCCCCGTGGTACTTTTGTTTCGGATATATCGGAGCGAAGAAATCTTGCATACTGAAAACTCTTTTCTTCGTGCAAGGGTTACTTCCGGTACCTGTCGCACGAAAACTGTACCATACTTCACCACAAAAAAAATTGAGCGCATAAAGCAAGGAATGAGTAACAATCTTTCTAAGTTTCGTTTCAATACCTCCAGTAGTTTTCCTGAAAAAAATTCCGAAAGAACTACTTTTCACAGGCCCCTTAAACGTGTCTCAAATGTCACTGAACTTTTCTGCAGAAAAAGGGTTGATAAACCGAGGCACTAGGACCAACGTTACTCGAGTGCTGTAACATTTGGCGGATCGACTAAAATCTTTCTCGAAAGTAGCTTGAAATGATCGAGAAAGAAAGCACGCAACACCGTTCGCGTACAAAAACTTTGATCGAAGCAACAGGAGAGCAAAACAGCTCGGCCTCCTTCTGGATGCAACGAATTAATCGGAACGGGCATTTAATTATCGCTCCGATAAAATGACTGGCCGCTCGTTTGTTTGCCGATTATCAAAACCGCGTTCAATAAATGTTTTAATTGTCTTCATTGTATTAAATTGCAAGCAATGATGCACTTGATCAGGCATGTTCATCAGTCAGAGAGAAATATTATTCGCGGTTAACGGAGCCCCGGTTGCATACATTTTATAATAACATCGTTTACGTTAAACACGTGATCGTCGATTCAAGCAGCTTGCTGCCCTCTCAACACCCCCTCTTTCTCTCTGTTTCACATTCTCTCTCTCTCTCTCTGTATGCGTGCAGAAAATTCAACACGAGCTTTGTTTTTGAATTGATTGAACACGTTACCGTGAACAAAACTCGTGGATCACTTAATTTTCCTTATAACTCGTTATAATTTCATTTGTACAAAGGGACGGATATTTCAGAGCTGTGTAAATAGATTCTGGATTTAGCGGATTCCTGGAGAAGAGGATAGGTCTAATTTTCGAACACTGGATCCTTCTTGTTCAATTCAATTTTTAAAGAGCTGACAACGTTTAAAGTGGGCCATTCGTAGTCTACGTTTTGTGTGCTTTTTTTTAAAAGTTACCGTCTACTGTCAATAAGGGTGATTTTATTTTTGCTGTTAATGTTTTGAAAGTTAGAAAGTTTTCCTTGAAATGCACCAAGAAAGAGTGAATTAAGTGTGATTAAGTGGAAGATGTCAAATGTTGGGCAAAGGATAGACAAAATTGATAAGAAATGACTGTTCTCACGTTTTAATAATTTGATTTCCTTCTAATACAAAAATATTTTTAAATAATTCGTATTTCATGGACTGCCTAACACTTTTGGCCAAGGTTATTCGTACTTATTTTTGCTATAATATAAAAAATTATATAGACATATTATGTCTAGTGATAAGCGTTTGAATCTCAATTTCAAAGTGATTCCAAGTTTTCCAATTCACTGTTCCAACCTAATTCGATCCCTAATTTCTTCAATTTTCAGATATCCGCAGAATTCAGGCATGTGTAACGAGAATATACATACGTAAATCGTAGATGCGAAATGGAACGAAGAACTGACGAATACGGAACAATAAACGAGTCAACATTGCGATGTTAGATTTTCGAAGGTGAAATTATATTTGGATGTCGGCGATACCAACGCCATCATAAGTGCCTACCTATGCGCCACGGATAAAATTTTAATAATACGGACGATATTGAATTGCATAAATAATTCTGCGGGGATCTTTTATGATCGTGTAAATAATAAATTTCGTTACTTCGTAACTTTCAACTGTATGCTTCATTTTATAATACTTTTTTCGTTTACCGCCACACTGACCGGACCTCTCGATACCGCCCTTTTTAATTTCGTAAAAATCATATCTGATCTTGCGTTATTGCTGGACGTTTTTAACGAAAAACTTCATTCGTGATTTAAAATTGGAAATGAGTACGAAAATATAGACTGGCCAATTCGATTTAGAACGGAAAGGATCTGATGGACTTGAAATTTTTCTACCAATTTATCGCGCGTTCACAATTTACGATTACAATTTAAACTGTAATTATAAATAATTACAACGTGCACGTTGTTTTGAAATATTCAAACAACAATCTGAAATATGATCGTGAATTACTGTGTTTCAATTGAAACTACTACTTTGTGCAAATTTGTTTATTTGATATTTTATATTCACTAGTGTTTCTTCTTCCTTATATTCTGTTTATTATTTTTGGAAATTTATTTGTAACATTTATTTACATCCTAAGTTTGTTATTTATTCTAAAAATGTCAAAAATGATACTACGTGAGCTTGGAGAGAATATTTACCGATATCTTAAAGATAAGTATTGGAAATGGGTTATTGAATGAAATAGTCTTTTATCTTTGTAATATACGATTTTATTTACGGTCTCAGAGGAAACGTCTTTACTCTATTGAATCTTCTGAAGGACTGTGTCTGGACACCCAAAAGAAAGTTGGGGTCCCCTTATACCTAGAAACTGTTTACACTATGGTATGGCATTGTGCAGTGAGTGACTCGAAGACGGACACCAGATGCATCTGGTGGAAGTCTTAGTGCCTTTGTTTAAAATAACCCGGAGACATTTTTGTCCTCACTTGATTATTTCCATAGGGTGTTGTTAGAAATAATCCAACAATAAGTAATTGTATTTATACGAACAATAAGAAAACAGGAAATGTGCACGATTTTTCACTGTCTAAATGTGGTTAGAACCTATAGAAATGTGTGTTTATGTTTAACAGAGATGTTTTTTATCGACAAATATTCCTTCTTTAATTTCCTTTTAACGATAAATTTGCTCACATTAAGTTGCAATTGAAACGAAGAGACTAATAATTCCTGCATTTCCTTCGTAATATGCGTACTATTACTTTATAGTACGAGTAACACCGTTTCATTACGAAAGCAATGTCATGCAATCGCAGGACAATAATTTTATGCCACGAGAACAGTTCAGCTGTGGGATCGAAAAGTGGTAGTATAGAAACGGAATTTTTATTAATCCATTTATTCATTTCCTACATTTTTAATGGTTGTAAATAGAGAAATATTTTCTTAGGGCAAATGAAATTATTATTTCATTATTTGTGTATCTCTTTGTTCAGAACTGTTTGGAACTTGTTTCTGTATGGAAGTATGCTCTGTTAATATTTTAAATACGTTTCTGACGTTGTTGCAGTAAATTATTACTCTTTGTACATTTAAAGTTTGTCGTTTTCTGTTTTACATCTACCTACTGTTCCCATTTCAAATTCTACTACGTAAACTGATTATTGCAGATATTACAGTTGATTAATGTGATTACTGTATAGTAAAATCGTTAATTATAATAATAATTAATTGTAATAATAAAAAAGATTAATCTGATTTTATGTAAAAAAAAAAATTCATTTGTAACGTAACAAGTCTTTCAGGGATAAAAGAAAAAAAAGAAAAAGGAACGTGGACAGTATGACGGAACAAAAATTGATCGATCACACAGAACCCTTACATCGAGTCCCAATATTGTCCAGGTTAACAACAAACAGAATAATGAGTACACAACGTCGTACAAAATTCAATTATACAAATTAACTGCTTGCATCAATTTCGTTTACCTTGTAACCCAGTCGAATCACCCGATTTGAGCGAACGAGCGCCGGAAACGGCAAGTGTTTGTCATACTTTCAAATTATGTTATTTCCCGAAATTGTTGGCGGTGTACGAACGAGTAATTAATGGCGTTCCCGTAATGCAGAATAAAAATCTGACTTTGAAAATAACGATGGGGACGTAATCCTGGAAACCGTCATAATCTCAACAAGTTATTTTACAATAATCAGTGTAACGATTGTGATTTCTCCATTATTAGATAAATTTCTAATTTCACGAAAGCCACGAAGCCTCGTATTCGTAAATTTGACTGCAAATTGCAAATGTACAGATATATTTTTAACTTAGAAAAAGGTATTATTAGTAAATTAAATTAATTTAGTAATTATTAGTAAAGAAATTATAGAAGTGATTATTAAATCCTTTCGTATAAATATTACACAAAATTTCATATCCCATAGTTAATATTAACTTATTCAATGTAAATAAGCTCAGGTGTTAAGTATTTGGTTATCGCTTAAATGACTAGTTACGTTCAAACAGATAGATATTGAAATATTTCATTGTATTCTTCAAATGTTAAAATATAAACATTTCAAATACTTTATTTATTTCACGACGTTCGTGAAATTAGTAGCACATTAATTTAATAATATTCGAATTAATTTCAACACGCTTCCCAATTTCTGAAATAAACCAAACAGATTTATGATAAACAACGATACTGGCGATATTAAGAAAAATGATTCTTCAATCACGATAACGATTTACTTTTCTCTTAATTTCTGCAAAACACTTGTGCAATTTGTTTATACCCCGCGGTGTTTGCGTTATGATTGGCGGACAATGATAAACAGCAATAATATCGGTGACAATCGGAAATAAAATTGGACGAAACGCCAAGGTGCAACATACCTTCGAAATAGAAAAAACACTATCTTTCGACCGGTTTATCGATTCTATAAATACCGAAGTCGCCGCGAACAGGATCAGTAAGCTGCAAGTTCTACCGAAGTGAAGAAAAGGTGAGCTCCAATCATTTTACATGTCTCAATTGTATTACAGGATAAATAAAACTAAATAAAATTGATCTCTGCGATATTTGCTAACATACGGCATTTTCCAGTTTCTACGTTCGAATACACAATATTTGTTCAAGATGAGGGCACTGTTTGCAATTCTTATCATTTGCGTTCTAACGTTCAATTTAATTACGAGCTGTAAACCACCAGGCTTACTTGTAAGTAAATTTCTCAATTATTAATATTTCCTGTCAAATTACCGACTCCTCTTCACGATGAATATGTAGTAATTTTGTAATTACAATGAAATAATCCGAGAACTTCTTTCATTTTTACCAACAATTTCTCGTTTGTATCTTGAACTAACGAATTCAATCGTTCCATTAACCCCTTAACGTCTCGCTGAATTTTAGAAAAACGTGCCAAAATTACCACTTACTCTAATCCTGCGTGAAACACAATTTTTCGAAAGAGCATTTATCTGTGTGCATATAATAAGAAATTGTACATGTTAAATTCAACTACGTAATATTACGTTTTCACAAGAAGAAGAAGAAAATTCTACTAAAACAACACAACAAATAATTAGCGCAACACATAAACAAAATTTGAAAAACTGGACGTCATAAAAGTTACTTACGTTTCCACGGAACGTAATCTCACGAAGGTGTCTGTTAAGGGGTTAAAAAGAAAATTCGCAAAATTGATTTAAATTGAAATTGCACAACCTCCGCGTACAACAATTTTTCGGCCAGCGTTAATTATCTAAACTACGAGTATCGCTCGAAAGCACGCGAGTTCAACGATAAATGCAATTCAGCGCGCTGAATTTCTGACACGCTTAGTTCAGAAAACAACAAATTCCCGCAGGTAGAACGACGAAATTTTCGCGATGTGTTAACCGTTTGTTTCGTAGAAACGCGAATGACTAATCGTACCATGTGTAATTTGCCGTAGTGCGCCGAGGACAAAGACTGCTGTGCACCGTTAATATGCAATCCTTGGGCTGGCCGATGCACCAAGAAACTGTCCACGACAACCGTTGCACCTCCACCGGTAGATTCGCCAACGCAGCTTCCAGAAAGCTACGTGGAAATAAACGAAGACAACGTTCTATAAATCACCCGATCGATTGATATCAATGTTACTTCGCAGATCTGTGAATCAGACTGGATACTCGTTGCGTTACATTCTTCGTATTGTCTCTGAACATTTTATTTTTCTCTACTCTATACAGTGTAATATAATTATTTCTTGAATATACCATGCATTGAAAGCAAAATTCTTCCAAATGTCTTTTCACTTTCTTCCCTCTAATTAATTAAGTTAAGTCTCTGTTAACTGGGAAATTATCCAATCTTCTATTTTTCAGGGGATTGTTATGGAAAAAATATGTATGACGGTGAATTGTCACTTTGATAATACAGTATGCAGATTTAAACACGGTTGACTTTGTTTCGCATTGTCCAACGGTTTAGGAATTTTAGAAATATATTTCGAAACAATTTCGTTACAATTTTTACGAATAATGTGCGGCAATATTTGCCACGCTTTGAGCGGAATTATGAGCGGTATTAAAAGTTTGCTGCTACGACTGTACTAAAATGAAGCATCGAACAATGTAATATGCAGGGAAATTCTTCTGTTTCGCGGAAGAAGTGCTTCTGTAACGTAACTGTTCGTCGTTAATGTCGTTAACATTCGAAATCTCTGTGTGATTATGCTAGAAGGCCCTGAATCCTCGATATGCTGCAATTTTACAATAATTAGAATTCATAACTTTGCTTCGATATTGCGTTATTTGATAAATTTTGTATTTGTTTATGAATCGTTCAGATTTGAATGTGAAAAACGAAATGTCAATTCGAGGATAAAACAGAAATCCTTCCGTATACCCAGTTACCTTATCTATTTAGCTATTACGGCACGAGAAAATTTTTAAACTTTAATTGATTCCAAAGGGTGAAACAAGAAATGGCAAAACATGAAAGGAAGTTTCACGTTTGATTTAAAATTTTAGAGCCCGAAGATCATTTTAGGGACATAAAAATGTAGAAGCATGTATTTTATTGAGAAACATCGGTAAATGTTTGTGAAAAGCTGCAGTTTCATATAATAAACCGTAAAATTTTTAGATGAACTATTTAACAGCTTTTAATAATGTCAAAAGTACGACGGTCCGAAAGCGGTAAAGAAGTTAATACGAAATGTATGATCCGTTGATCGAATTAAACCGCTATCATTTATCAATAATTGCATAATGAATTTCGTAAGAGTAAGTATACATAATCGGGGATAAATTTAAATTTATATGATATCGTACAAATTAAAATATATGCAATATAGGTAATCGTAATAACAAACGATAAAGCGGAAGAACGTTCACGATAAAACAATATTTTCCAATAAAACATGATATACGTTAATTATTGACCGATAAAAATTACTCAACTTCTTTACTTGGCGAGCACACATCTCTGGAATATTTAATATTTACTTGGCCCTTCATTTATTTGCATAGAACTATTTCTGTTGTTAAAAAGCATTCTTGACATAATAAAGTTGAAGATACTCAGGTATTATACGTAGCATTTATATTACTTTGGTACTTATCTAGAATTTTAATAAGGGTAATTATATTTATCCCATACACGAGGTGGACGATAAAAGTATCCAGCACCCTGAACATTCTTTTATCTACACGTATTGACGCGAAGAAAGTGCTGAACTCTTTGTATCAAAAAGACAATAGTATTTTACGATAACACGAATGAGACGGTGATTATGGCCTCCATTAGTCGCATTAAACGTATAAATACCTAGAACTAGCGTTTCGACGTCAGTTCTGGAGATTCTCCGGCATTAAAAGTTGGATTTCACGCTGAAAAACGTTAGTACAGCTAAAACAATATCAAATTTAAATTTTCTAATTTATTTTTAGATTCGGAACTGAATTATTATAATTTAGCATTTTAATAATCGCTATCTCGTGAATTTCTAATTTTAAATATTACCTTTGCCTTTAAAAAGCTAGGAATTTTTATAATTTTTAATTTGTTTGCGAAAAATTATGAAGAAAAGTATTACGTAGAATGGGACATTTGTTTCTCTTTGCAAATTTTAGCACGAACTTTTCAATAACAAATTTTGTACGATTTTTTCTTAATAATAATTGTATGTATTCGTAGTTTCGGTGTAAACTGTTTTGGTATTCTAGAATAGAGTTGAATCGTGTGATTAATGAAACAGAAAACTAAAGGATACGTAAAATCGTAAGAAAATGAATGTTTTATTTTCCAAAGGATTTTAAATTCGCCTTAGACATACTTTATCGTTTCATTGAATCTCTGTCTCGCTCAGATATTTCACAAGACTTCTATTACGCTTTTCCGTCAGATTTTCGTGTAGAAATTGGTGTAATTAGTAGAAAACATTCGTAAATAAGAACAATCGATAGTAGTAATTTATTATTAATTTAATTACAACTTTTCCAACTTTTGCATATTTCTCTTTATTTACTACCTTTAAAATGGAATTTCATTATATCGTCCTCTGTAGTTGTATAAATATTTGTGATCATTATTTTAGCATTGAAATTCGTGAAAATGAGATTCCTGATGTTCATCCTGATGGTTATAGCAGCTTTCACTGTTGTTCTGCCTGTTCGAAATAAGCCTGGTACTTGCAGCAAATGGAAAGGAAAGGTAGATACATTCTTTATAAATTTATAAGGACACCTTCGAAGTTACTTTTGCTGCACCATTTTTTACTCGATTTAAATATTTCAACGACACATATTTCTGGGAATGAAAGTTTCCTTTGAATGTTGGTAGCGAGTGTAAGAAAATCTATTTTGGATCCTGTGGAGCCACCCAAACGCAGGGCAACAGTCTCTTGCTCCTGAGGCTTCTTCCAGAGCCTGTTTCACGCAGAAAGCGTGCAGAAATCGGTCAGGACGACGTACAAGACCACGGGACGAGTACTATACAGAACTGGAACAATTGCTCGTGAAAAGAATACGGGTGTAATTGGATCACATCCCCATAAGCCCACCTTCTCTGACACAATCATAGAAATAGGGCACACGTGTTATCATTATTGGCTGACGCGATAAAATTTAGACGGTGCGAGTGAAGTGTCACTCTTAGCCCGGTGCCGTACCTCGAGAAATCTTTTCTCTCAGTTCCGCATAGTACTTCGGCGAACAATACTATTATAGAACCGCGTTGTTACAGTCTTGCAGGAAATACATACAATATGTATTTGCGAGAATTTACAATAGAAGCGTTCAAGTAATTTTGGGCTCACTCTATATTCGACTTGGTGTGTTTCTGACAGGAGTCATAGTGTGTTAGGGTTTCAAGAGTGGTCGAGGGATGTTTGGGTCAGAACGATAGAGATGCAAAAGAAGAGTGTTTGGGTCAGAGCGATAGAGGTTGAAAAGTAGAGTGTTTGGGCCAGAACGATAGAGGTATAAAAGAAGAGTGTTTGGATCAGAGTGATAAAAGTAGAGTGTTTGGACCAGAGCAATAGAGGTGCAAAAGAAGAGTGTTTGAATCAGAGCGATAAAAGTACGAGAGAAGAATATTTTGGTCAGAGTACTTGGCTACCCAAGAATGTCCTTGAGGAATACTTGCGTAAAATGAGAAGAAACGAGAATAATGAAAGAGTTTGGAAGATGCGTGCGAGAGGTCAGTACGAAAAAGTCAGAGTAGCAAGAGAACAGTCCATAGCGAGAAATTCATCAACTGTTACGATGAAGATTAACGTTTAAAATCACTCCTGCGTCTCTAATCACTCAGTATTTCCTTGAAATAATCCCTGCATATTTATCATTTCAGTGTTATGCCTATGAAGATTGTTGCCGCTATCTCGTCTGCCCTACGTACGAAGGTAGATGCGTACTAAAACCAGGAATTATTGTCCCAGGAGAGGACACTAGACCTATTGGAGATGGACCATTTCCTCCAGGTTACCCAGATTTCTAAATATTGCACTTACTACTTACGTTCCAATTTTTATCTTCCTTTGCTTTCAATGCCTTAGCTTAATTGTAAACTATTAACTTCAATGACATTAAAATTGTACAAGAACAAGTAAATAAAAGCGTATTCACAGAATTTAGGGTCGTTACTCTCCCATTGTTCTCTATTTCAATTAGTCAATTCTCGATTAAGTAAATTATTTCTTTAATTTTTAATTCTTGTTCAAGTAGCTTATTTCTTCAATTTTCAAGAAGCGGTCGAAGTGTTATTCGATTCATTAAGAACTGCTGTTTTCTTTTTAGTTTAAACATTTTCTATAGTTTAAAGTTTAGTAGTTACAAAAATAAGATTTTTAAATATTTCCATCTATGCGATTATGAAAAATAAACGTGGTCCGACATTTCACAAATTAACTATCGCATTGAATTCACCAAAAACTGTACTACAGGCTACAAACTCAATGTAGGATCTCCCTAAATCGAGACTTTAAGCACACCCATAATTAAAGAGCAGCGTTGACATTGATTTCACGCACGCGTATTCTGAAAAAAAAAAAAAAACAGTATTAAAAGACATTAATTTCATACGAAAAGGGAAAGCTACAGTCCTTTTTACGAATATTGCGTGACAATAGTCAAACGCAGAAATGACCTAACCGTCTCACAATTTGTCAAACGTATCTTCTGCTATCGTCGCGATAGCAAGTAAATGAAATTGCAGTGGAAATACGACGAGACGCATAAAAATTGCAAAATTGTACGGCAATAGTATCCGAAAACAGAATTACAACGTAGAGGAGGATCGACCGCAGCGCATGGCACGCAGTGAAATTCAGCAACGTTAAAAAACACACACGAGCAAAAAAGTTTTGTTAAAACAGAAAGAAAGGGGGGAAAAAAGGAGAAATCAAAGATTTCAGTTGGTTACCATCTACGGATAAAGGGACAATATTACCGGATGATTCGGTTTTCTATCCTGTTGTCTCCCATCAAGCAAATTAAAGAACAAGAGGGCTTTGTCGAGAGATCAATGGAATGTGTAAAGCCTGCAATATATAGTCGATGAAATATCGGTGCAGAAAGAAAAAAGTGTACTGGAAAAAGAATGTTCACAGTGGCTGCCTCATTTCAATTGTTATACAATTTACCAGTATAATCGGAATGAATTATAACTACAAGGGAAAAAAGCACGTTAGGTTTTGGCTTCCTCAAATTCACCGAGATACCTGTGCACAAAGACATTATTTCTATGGAGTTGAACACTGAGTCCAGTAGGTATAGAGTCTGTAGTTACTGTAATTTAACAGGTTTACTGCGTGTGACACGCACCTAACGCGTGATACGTTCCACTGCAGTCCTGTTCGTCCTTCCGTTAACAGGACTTAACAATTTTCCTTTTATTTTTTATCTTTCTCCATTCGTGAATACGTAAATCCGTGGAAGAAAAGAACGATATACAGGGTGTCCTAATTTTTTCCGATCAAACTTTGCCAGTACGTTCTATGGGTATAGATAAGAGAAAAATGTGATGTAAACATAGGTCGTTTGAAGCTTCGTTGAAAAGTTATAACAGAAATACGAAATACGAACGACAACGGGTGGGCGGTTATTACGAGACAGAGTAGGAATAGATCGGCGATATGTTAAATCACATGGCGTTGCAAAGAGTGAAGGACGGAAATGAAATAAAAAAGGGGATGAACGCAAGAATTCTAACAGGGTTACAGGGACCCGTTCTGCTAACTCGCCTCGTGGACGATGAGAGCCTAAAATAGAATTTTAAAGCAGCGGTAATAATATGCGGCCCGCGTTGCGCAACGCCATTTATGCCAGCTGATAAATTCGCTAACACGAATTTATTTCTTCATTTCAGTGTCAGTTTAACGCGCAATGCTGCAAGGAGCATAACGTGCAACAACTGTACGCACAAGTGTCAAATGGAGCTCGTAGTGGAGGTTCAGACAGCTTTACGCCTGGTAAAGAATAAGAACAAATTTTTAGGTTGTTCGGAAAATTCGTAGCGAAATTTCGGAAGAATTCAAATCGTTGTATCTTTATTTCCAATTAAGATAGCGACAAAAGCCAAACGGTGTTTCAATCGTCGGTTAAAAACGAATCAAACGCACTCCTCAAATTATTCGCAAGACGAACGAGGACGGATATAAGTCGAATTATATTTTTTATGGTGCAGCGTCGATATCGAATTTTTCGTGGCAGCGCTCCGCCACAGAAAATATGATTCGACTTATATCAGCTCCAGTTCATCTTACGAAAAATTTAAGAAGTGCGTTGGATTCGTTTTTAACTAACGAATGAAATGCCGTTTGGCTTTTGTCGCTATCTTAATTAGGAACAAAGATACATCAGTTTGAATTTCTCCTAAACAATACGAACTTTTCAAATAACCCAATAATTAAATAATTAACTTATTCAACGACGCAAAACCAGATAGAAAATTCAAATCATGGTATGTCATTAAAGCATTCGTTTATTATTATTTTGCAACAGATAGCAAATAAACGAGGATAATAAAAAAAAAAAAAATACAGAAATGCAGAGGAATACATGAGATTGTAAAAGAAGAAAAGGATAAATTAACCGAACAATAATAGAAATTTTCAAGCTACCTTTTCCAAACGAATCTCAGAACTTCATCAGCTAAATTTCTTTTAATGGTATCGTACAGAAAGGCGCGTCGTGCAGAAAGGAACGAATTCGCGCTGTCGCGCATGCGACACAGCAAAGTAGAGATTTCCATTCAAAAGAGAGGTCACGATTATTATTATCAGCTCGTACGAGTATTATTGAGTTTTATTTTTAAGACAGAAATGCAGCGCGCACGATAATACCTACGCTGGTGACCATGGAAAAAATGTTGTTGCTACGAAATAAAATTCTGACGATTCCGGGCGAAACGACTCAAGCAGGGTGTGATGATCACTTGGAAGATAAGTATTTTAGAAAATTACACTCGATCGAGCTTATTCCTAACTAGTTCAAAAATTAGTCAACGTTTTGTGTCACTCAATCGCCTACACACGTGATGTCGCATTTGAAAGTCGCTTATCGCCTTTAAATTCGCTATCTCGACAAATACTAGATTCGTCCGTTTAAACATGAGCCGTATTTTTTAATAACTCGCTTTTAATCAAAGACACGGAAAGATAAAAAATCTGATATGTTAAATAAAAGTGGCGTGAAAAGGACAGGTGAGCGACAAGAGAAAGGGTCTAGTTTAATCGCCTCGACTTATCTTTCGATAAACTCGTACCTAGATCGACCATATGTGACTCAAATCAAAATCGTACATGGGCAATGTCTTTCCGTATCTCGATATACCAGTTGGACATATTTATGGATCGTTGTGAATGCCTTCGATTGTTTTTCCCCTCCGTTGTAAATTCGATGTATCCGATAAGGGTCGCTGACAAGTGACTCTCAGGATTTCTGATTTCCGATGGATCCTCACCGAACTTCGTCCTTTCTCTCGTTTTTAATCAGCCGCGATTTTCGGATGAAAAATTATTCCCAACTGGAGTAATCTTAGCTTCGCATTCAAATTTTTGTAAATAAAAAAATAGTAATATTAATTTTGCATTCACGTTTTCGCGAAATTGGCAGTGACACAAATAGAAAAAAAAATAGTAAATAAAGTTAATCGGCGAGTAATATTAATTTCGCGTTCATATCGTTGCGAAATTGAAGACAGATAAAAAATTAATCATATTAATAGAAAGACATACCGTACAATATTTATTAGAAGCTTCTGGTTGCTCAAAGGTACTAAATATTCCAATAATTTTTATTCCATTGCGCACTTTTATTGCAGTTCCTCGAAATTATTACCAAACGAATACCTTACTAAATGAACTAATTATTTTTTTAATATTCTGTATTCTGCATTTTTCAAGAATTAAAGGTAGAATTAAAATTCAAACTCCGCTGTTTGTTAGACGTTGCCAAATATTCGGGAGCAGAGTTTTAACGAAAGTTGTTTAAACGTTGAAACGTAAGTCTGTCACTTGGGAAAAGTTCGCGATCATTGCTCGACGGTGGGTACTCCATCATCTGTTAAGAGGCATCCTAATTTCGAAAAGTAAACGTACTTTGATTCAGACACCGAAAGCTTCTTGCGTTCGTTAGACGACATTTCCGTCGTGTTTCAATCTCATTAGTTTCAGCTTAAAGCTAAGCGCCTCAACTCTTTTAGGCTGTACCGTTTCCGTTCTTTGACCATCGCGGAGTTTACAGACAAAGTTCTTTTCATCGGAGACGGAAATTACACCCGATGGCTGAAGAGAAAGGAAGAAAAACAAAAGTACACGGTGCGTGCAGAATTTCGGGTTTCAACTTCTTCACAGGTACGAAAATAAACGAACTTCATTACGTCCGTTAAATGTCACTTTCATCTACGTTCGTCTAAATTAAGTAACAGAACAAATGAAAATCTATTTATTAATGGAAATTACAAACAAGTGTAGTGCCATAATTCCAGCAACTTCTTAAGGGAGTACACCACCCTAAGACGTCTGAAAATAAGTAAAGTTTGAGAATTTTTTCCATAGATAACTACTAAATGAAAAGTTTCAATTTTAATTAAAGGATACAAATGTAACTTTCAGCTTCCTTCTCGAATTCTGAAAATTAATGAAAATTTGCATTAAGATACAAATTTCTTAATAACAGATACACGAACATTCGAATCGTATTTCTGTAATTAATTAAAGTAGCGGTATTCAAATGCACAATTATCTGTGTTAAGTTAACGCTTTGTAAGGATGATTCATAAGCTTTGAAATGTTGGAATAGAATCTTTCTTCGTCGATAATCCTTTAATTTTTATTTTCACGAATCTCCATCCGTGTTACACTGATAAGACGGAAAAAGTCCTATCTAGTGGATCGAAGGTAAAGGCATCACTGAACAAATATTTGTCCGATGTACCTTATCGTGTTCCAGTTTAATTGCCATATGTTATACTCTCATACTTTATGGTATACCTTCTATCTTAGGTAAAACGCACATACGTGCCTCTATAAAA